CATGTCCGCCATCGCAGAACTGCTACATATTATATCAGCAGCAGACATGCTCCGAGATCTGATTCGTGTCAATCACATCACCGTGCCTCGAGTAGAATCTCAGCCGAATGCAGCGTTCGCCAATATGATGTCAAGACTCGACGACATACACCTACGACTCTGGATCCTGCAGTACCACCTGTTCAAAGACGGCATGTCCCAAGATTCAGAGGCTTTCCCTACTCCTTCTGACGATTTGTTCGATTTCATCCGCCATGTGCATCATGCGACTGGTGTACGTGGCTTCTGTCACCTTTCTAACCGTCAGTTCTTGAGGCTTGCGAAGGACGAGCTACTTCGCATGGATGACATCGTTGATGGTCCCAGCCACGCCACCGAGCTCTGCCAGGTACTCCACGATATGTATGGATTGAAGCTTTTCGTCGAGCCTCTGGACTGTCAGAGCTTTCAAACTACGCCAGATGTCCTTGATAAGAAGACTGCCTTCAGCATCTTACCTTTCGCAATGTCGCAAGCTGCTAAGGTCGATCTCAAGGACCTACCTAAGACCGAGCTCAAAGGTACCATCGAGAAAGTACATGCTGCTCTTGGTCGGCCTAAACAGAACGAGGATATTACCTTTAACCGCAAAGTCATTTCCACTTACTTCAAATCGCCCGTCAATCCAGTGGCACTGTTTGGGTGTCTGAAAGGCGTTGGTTCGCTCGCCACGAAACACATTCCTGCTGACGAAGCTGTGGCTGCATCGAAGGGCTGGTACTACATGATGGGAAACATCGCGCTGAGCAAATTCCGATCGCAGAAACGTATGACTCAGGGACCGACAGAAGACCTTAACTACGCACAGGCATTCTTTGTGCAGGACCTGGAGCACTCCATTGAACGGTGGGAGACCTGGTATCGGCTTGCCCAAGCCAACGACACGCAGCTCGAAGAGGCTGTATCTTGGAACGCAGACAAGATGAACAGCAATAGTGCCGAGGTGGTTAATTTCCAGCGTGCTGCAATCAATTGCTACATTATGGCTGTAGCCTGCGCTACCCGCGATGCTAACATCACGCCGATCGATCAAACCAAGATTGCACAGATGTACACCGAGTTCGGAAACCGCATGTACGCCTCATCCAGGGAACCATTCGGTATGGAAGCATTCCAGATACGGGAAAGTGAAAAACGATTTTGCAACCTACAAACGAACGCCTCTCTATACAAAGAAGTCGTATTTGCCCCGTTGCATGCCTACACTGCTTGGAAATTCGCAAGCACTCTCTACAAGAGAGCCATCAAAGGCAATCCGAACAAGTGGTGGAATCACTTCATGCTTGGAAAGTGTGGTTGGAAGATGTGGGCAGCAAATGATGGTGCGACGCAATATGCCAAGTCAATAGGTGCACCACTACCCCTTCCACGCGGTCCTTCCTGGGAGTTTGTTGTGGACGCATTCGTCAGCGCCATTGAAACATTACCAGGAAAGAAGGGGCGCAGCGGCGAGCCAGTCCTTGAGCCGCATTACAAGCTCGTTTCCATCACACACAAACTGTTCCTGCGAGGAGCCATCGACCACGAGAAAGGGGCGGAGATCCTCGCGAACACTTCCTACACGCAGAACGTCAAAGCTCCGGAAAACAACGGTGACTGGCAGCGATACGTACTCGCGGTATTAAAAGCATTGCGAGCGGCCGACAAGTCAAGTTGGCACCATCGCATCATATCCCGTGTGGCCCATACTCTCTATGACAACGGCAGAGATCCAGTATCGGCCAATGAGGCTAAACATGAGCTTACGCAGCAAATGTTTACCAAGACCATGGCTGTACAAGTTTGGAAACCTGAGAATGAGCGACCCGGCCGACATTTTGTCTACACTACACGGTATACCAAGTTCTTTATTGAACTATTGGATCTCACTGGAGACAAAACTAACTTTGAGGCGCTTGCTAAGCGTGTACGACGCAAGCAGACTGACTTCTTCGAGCACCAGAAATTGTGGCAAGACTTATGTCTGCGCTACATCAAAATGCTGCGAAAGATTGGCAACGTACTTGAGGGTCAAGAAGACTCTGCTTTCAAGTCTGTCAATCACGATGAGTTCAACACGCTGGCTCTTCGGTTGGAAGCGTGGTGTCAGAACCCAGAGACCCAACATCCCGTGCTGGATGTTCTCCGCGATGCTATCGAACTCAAGCGTCTAAATAATGGCATGATGAAGCCCCTTCTCATCGACGACCTGATTGGCGACGCATACGCAATGCTGTACACTTCGATTGGACCTTCGCTACCGCCGTTGCAATCGGAGCAACAACCACAGCAGCCCTTGCAGCCTGCACAGCCTCGACCATCGCCTTTCGGTGTACCCGCAACAGCTGCAGGTGCTGTACCTATCTCATCGTTGATGCAGGTTCAGGTTGATGGACCTGCTGACGGAAGTTCTGGTACGCCATTTAACATGTATCACCCCAACCAGCTTCAGCCGCAGCACCCGCCGTCAATGCCGCAAATGCCCTCGCAGCCTGAGCAACCCGCAAAACCAAGAGCCAAGGCAGTGGGTCGTAGGGAGATCGCACGTCGAGCCGAAGCTTGTGTACAAAAGATCGCAGGTACAGCTACGCAGCCAACATCGATGCCCATTCGATCGCCTCCACCCAGCGAAGCAGCGCTTCCCTCCATCGTCGGACAAGCCGCCTCACCCGAAGCCGTTGCGCAACCAGCACCTGAACCAGGCACATCCACCGAACATCTACACCCTTCCTTCGACAAGAGCGGCACAGCGACCACATCTGCCAGCATAAACAACGACGAGCCCGAGCGCAGCGCACCCGCTTCCATCCACGACGACGCAGACGACGAGAGCGAGCTTAGCGAGCTAGACGAAGAAGAGGTGGAAGAGATTCATCAGGAAGTCCAGAACGATAATCTGCGTAGATCGGTATCTATTGCAGGAAAGCCTCTCTTTCCTAATTTGGCGGCTAATCGAGTTAGTCCCGAAGGAAAAAGGAATGAGACGGCTGCTGGAGATGATGCGGCGGATGATGATGGCGATGTTATTCACGTTATGTCGAGGAAGGAGGATGGCGATGCTATACATGTTGGTGCTAAGAAGGATGAGGATGCGATGGATGTTGACGGCGAGAAGAAGTAAGGAAGTTCATGGATTTGGTTAACGGCGCGCAGGAGGGTGTTTTTTGCTGGATTGTGTACAACTATAGAATAAGTGTGTCTCATGGCGTTGCTATGAAGGATCGGCGACGAAGGAGTCGGAGTGGGTTTGTTTTCTAGATACCCATCATGTAGGGCTGTATATATAACATGTATGACAGAAGCTTGAAGTAACATCATCCGTAGGTCTCTCCTTCCTCCGCCCGACGTCATTTTGGTTATTCACTTTCCTTGTCCTCAGCTGGGGTTATCATTGGCTCAGACATCACGCCCCCACAGTTCTTTCCCTTTTGCGACCGCAGTGCATTGGTTAGGCAGCAAACACAGACAAGCTAGAGTCGTGTATATTGAGGGTTCTTTGCTCCGTTCGAAAATCACCATCGCTCGATCCAAGGTATACAATGTCACGCGCCAACCCCAAACACGAACGAAAGATGAAGTTCCGCATCCCTCCTTCCAGCTACAACCGTCCCTCCAAAGACGAGAGCGCCGGTACCTCGTTCGAGAACCCGCTAGTTGACTTCCGCGCCCAACTCGACTTGATCGCCACGCGCTACTACGCTTTGGATCCGACCAAAGGTATCATAAAGACGACTGAGGCGGGCGTACCCAAGTACCACCGGGACAATGTCGCAATCCTTAACAGTGATGGGATGCGCATGCATGTCTCCTATGATCCAGGTCGCAACACCTACACTATCGTCATCAAGCATCCTGAGCAAGCTAAAGACGTTTTGTCGCGTCTGAACGATCCGTATTGGGAGTTTATTGACGTTGAAACGGCCTTGGAGGAGGCGGAAGATGACGATACTATCCACTATTGTAAGACCGTGATTTGATAAGCATCTTGAACATTGGCTGACCGCATGTGAAAGATATCGACTTCAAGTACTTCAAGCGTCGCAGGAGTTCCTACCTAGATGATCTCGACAAAGGTCTATACGATGGTCTTTCCGACAATGAGAAAGCTCTTCCTGCTTCTGGTTCTGGTGTCGCTGCTTCCTAGACCGGGCTGGATTCTTGCCGTAGGTCAGGATAGATATTCACATTGACCTGGTGCCGACCGCTATTAGGTCACTGGGGTCAGGATTAGTTTGCTTCTAGACACCAATGAGATAGGCCTGGACACATAACATGTAAATCAACGTGCAACAACAACCGAGTATCTGCGCATCTGCCGAGTACAGTTAGTGAATAGTGTCAATCTGACGGAAGACACCTACGCTGGAGCTGATGTCCCCGATACGTGATGACATCACACTCCTGCTTCTCGTCGCGTTCCTTATGCTCTCTTTGGGTATCGCGCCTTCCTCGATAAGTCACGAGCTCACTCGGTCCACGAACGCGACTGCCCGTTTCCATAGCGTTTGACGTTGATTTACCTGCCGCCTAGCAATCTGAGTGTCTTCCGTCCACAACACACGACCACAAGCAGCAAACGCAATCGCTCGTTCGAGTTATAAGATCTCTCCTTTCCAACGCTGTTTCGAACACACAATAGAATCACTGGATCCTCTGACTACCCCGACGACAATGCGCTCCTTCACTACTGTAGAACTTTCTCACTTTCGCGGTGAGGGGCGGCTATGGGAGGTCACCTGGACTTTGAGTAAAGGTCAAGGTGATCGCTGAGGAGAACCGCCTTCGTTGTATAAGTAGGTGGTTTCGAGCGGGTTTATGGTTCCTTCTTTCTATACACCACTGCTACAAGAAGAGATATCACCGTGGTACACTTCAACTCCTAGTAAGTTTCCTTGGAGATACTGGCTATGCTTACTCTGCTAATTATGCCACAGAAGCTATATATACCACGATCAAACTTTCCAACTCAACTCAAAGAAGATATGTCCGCCGCTGCTGGATCCTCTCCACCTCCTCCGCCCCCTAGCGGCAATCCCAACAAGAACACTGGCCATGGATCTTCTTCGTACCCCAACCTCAAGATCCCTCTCTCAGGAGACGGAAGCACTCCCCAGAAGGCTGCTTGCGCAGGTATCATGTTCCAACCACCTGGTATCACCAAGAACTACGTCGTCGACGGCGTTGGCCTCTTCCCTCGATACCGTCGTACCCGCGTCGAGGAAGCGCGTGAATATGCTCGACTGTCGTATACAATCCTCGATGGGAAGACCTACGAGGTTATCCCCAAGTCTCATATCCCTCCGGGTCCCATTGGCAACCCCTCTATGCCGGCCGCTGCGGGTATCGTAGCTCAGATGCAGGACATTGCCGCTCACGATAACGCACTTGCGACGGGTTCGGGGGCAGCAACTGATGCTTATAACGCGCTGCAAGTTCACCGTGAGTATGATGTATCCTTCTTGCATTATTATAGCTGACTCTGTGTAGACGGCGACGCCTTTGTAGACGACGACGTCAACACTGGCAACTCATCGGAAGACGCTGCTGGTAAGTCGGTTCAGTGATATACCAGACGAAGTCGTACTAATCGTTTGTCAGAATCGTCTTCAGATACGTCTGGCGACCGCTCGGCTGGTGCTTCTTCTACGGACTAAGACCTGGCTCTTGGATTTGTGCTTTCACTTCGGAGCGAGATTGCGCGCGCTGGGTAAATCCGACTAGAAAAAGTGGGCAAGTAGATGCAACGGAACCTTCCTCAATGGCGTCACGGCGTTGGTAGATACCCCTTGGATAGAAGAGAATAACATATGAGATATAAAGCCGAACTCCGTCTTCACACTGCATTTGAATGAGACTACCGCTCGCTGAAAGACTACATGTTACCTCTGGGTTTCCCCTTATCAAATCTGACCAACATGTGGCGCGCTACCGAGAGAAGATAGACGTTGTGTTATATGTCGTCACTCTAGTGTATAAACCCACTAGCGCTTCGACATGTTATATGCACCTACTGCGGTACCTTACTGCCTGCTCTGCTTTATTGTTGGCGTTCTCGCTTTCCGCAGATCTTGGCTGGTTGCTACTCTTATACACATGCATCGATTTCGTCAAATTACGCATGTGCTTTCGCAGTTGTACAGACTTGTAGAAACTTATGTAGTGGCTTGGGATATCTTGTAGGCGTGCATCGGCGCCTCTGACATTTATCTTCTTACTATGGTGAAAAGACGGCGATAATCAAAAGAGGAGCTGCGCGCACCTCTATTGTAGCACTCGCGTAGCACATTCTCTTAGGTACATCCGCACACAAGGTCAAAAACGTATTGCTTACTCTGCACCTCTGCAGCTGTGCTTGTGTCAAAAAAGAGTGTGCGTGGCCTAACTTCACATAGCCATGGTGAGAGAGAAGTCAAAAAGAGATTGTCGCAATTAATTGGCGGTACTGGGAACTGTAGACATGTTAGGAATGTCTCAGGACCACCAATGAGGGAATGAACGTACTCGAACCCAGGCTGGCGCGGATCTGGATCGGGACACTAGGTGTCCGCCAGCCACAACGCGACGTCATACCACTAGACCATACCACGATAGGGTTGTTAGTACGGTGATGCGAGTAGTGGCTTGGAAAGCTGCTTACCCGAAGTGATTCGTTTTGATGGAGGAACGGGGAAAATTTGCGTTTATAACGTTGGTAAAACGCGCGCATGCAGTTGCCATTAGTCCCCCAGTCAAGTCTCCCACAAGCATGTGAATCAGAGTTCTGACAGCAGAATTTGGATGCGATGGCGGGGTCAAAAGGTCTGTGCCCTCCGCTAATGGTGGGGCTGGATTTCCTGGTCGCATCCGAGTTGCTCTTTCTTCACCCAATCACCTGGGCAGTCACAACAGCAACACACCTGAGTGCTCGAAATGTCCATAGGTATGTGATTTGAAGTACTCTACAGGCCCAGCTACGCGTTAAAAGAACGCGATCCTCCAGCTCCAGCGTGAGTTCATCGATATGTAAGATGGCTGGAGCTCTACATGACGAAGGCCGCTTGGAGCTAGTGCTGCATTTGGCGATTTTACCTGCATCTTCGACGAGGGTGGACACCACTAACGCTCGCATCAGAGCACTCATCACCTCGGCAGTCGCGAGGCAAGCCGCGCAAATCCTATCGCGTCGAGGATGAATACTCGTTTCTCGATGAAGACGAGGATGGCATTGCGCCCTCCGGCAAACAGACACCATCCCTCCAAAACGGCGATGATGACGACGGTGATGATTTCATGCCGGATGCCCAGGAGGAGGAGATGGAATATGAAGAAGAAGACGAAGTGGTAGAGGAGGAAGATGACTCTGCGGAAGAGCAGGCCAATTCCGACGAAAGTCCTGCACCAACTCCAAAACGCAATGCACGCGATGCTCGAAATGCGCGAGTACCTCAAGCCGTGCCTACTACCCCAGACGTTATTCCGAAACGACGGTACAATGATCCCCGCTACAAGGACATGGCAGACAACATACCGTCACCAGTCATATTCAAGAAAGGAGGTGGCATCAAAGTACGGGTTGTCGATACGGACACCCAATTGCGAACGCGAGGTATCCCCGATTTCGACAAGATCGGTGGTCATGAGCCGCGGCTGAAGAACCTGTTTGGTCCAGATGTACACCATCTGAGACCAGTACTCGAATCGAGGGACTATTGGTTCCCACAAGAAACGTTTCCTATCCGGAGTTATAAGAAGAATAAACCTGATGATGCTGAGGTGGGTAGTTTGAGAAGGAGCTTCTTCGAAGCCGATGGCGCAAGGGAAAAAGAGAATGAAGTCTTGAGGACGTGGTATGCCAATATCGGAAGCCATGCTTTTGCAAAAGCGCAGACAACGAATAAATTGACGGCGGACGAGGCGAAACAGTACATGACAACCCCAGGATCGGATACCATGAACGTACTGGCTGGTCCGGTGAACACGCCCCAAGTTAACACACTGGCAAAAGGCTCATACATGAGCATCGCAGAACCCTTCCCGGGCGATCAAGAGCGACGCGGTTGGTTGTTCAATTTTGGCTCTTGGGTGCAAGACGCTCAATGGGCGACGAACGAGGAATCCAGCACCCAATATCTTGCTGTTGCCATCGAGCAGAGACCTACCAGCGGCGACCAACCCAAGCCACTGGAGCAGCCAAAAGCACCTGCATTCAACCCTACCGAGCCATTCCCTGCGTCGATTCAGATATGGTCATTTGAAGCTGACGATGAAGGCGGCTTGGATGCATCGAAAGAGCCGCAACTAGAGCTAGTCATCTGCACAGACTGGGGTGCGCCGAAACATCTTAGATGGTGCCCGGTAGCTGCTACAGACACGACTGAAGAGATGGATGACGCAAGTAGTAGGCATATAGGTATGCTTGCAGGTATCTGGTCCGATGGACGAGTGCGTGTCTTGGATATCTCCGCACCTCCCAAAGCCGACACTCACACTCCTACGTATCTTCGTGTTTCACGTGCTGCATTCGAAGTTTCGTTTCCTCAAACAGTGCCCTCGTGCTTGCACTGGCTTTCGGGACATACACTCGCGGTTGCGACTGCAGCAGGCACTGTAGGCATTTGGTCTCTGAATCGCCCAGGCACACTGAGAACACCTGACGCCACACATCACAACCCCAGACCCTGGTTCTATCAGCAATTAGCAGACACCTATATTCTCACAGTCTCCTCTGGATGGCCGTCTAACCCGCAATTCTTGTCCATCAGCACCGCAGACGGTTTTGCGCGCCTCTTCGACCTGCGAAGCCCAAATGCCGATACCACTGCTTCGATACGAGGTCGCACACTTTGTCTAACGCAGGCATGGCACGAGCATACGCAATCCTTCGTCATGCCTGACGAACATTACATCCTGCGACACACGCCCATCCGTCGTTACTACCACAACCTCTACAGCATGCGATTAGAAAATAGCATCACACGCGTCGCAACAAGCCCGGTCCATCCCGGCGTTCTTATCGGTGGAGTCGACGGAGACATCCAAGCCAGCAACCCAATCATGCGCATCACGAACTACAAAATCATGCCCTGGCAACAGAAATGGTTTGTGCACGAGTGGCGACGACCGATGGATCGGCTGCAAGCCAAGCCTACGACTGGTGAAGATGTCACCATGACCGAGGGCGGGACAATCGAGGAGACCAACAACGACGACACACCCGAATTGCAAGCCGGAAAACCAGCCGATGGAACCAAGAAGGTGCCGCGAGACGTACTCTCGCAACCTCTGGTCCGCATCACCGAAGGCTATAAGGCCGGTCAAACAGGCATTGCGCACAGTACATCTGCGAATGCGACTAAGAGGGGAAACCCAGAGGTGGGAAGATCGATTAGTATCTTCGAAGAGCTGACTGCGATCACGGCGCTGGCTTGGAACCCAAATTTGAAGTTTGGCACGTGGGCTGTTGCGGGTATGGCGTCGGGGTTGTTGCGCGTGGAGGATGTTGGTATCTAGGAGGAGGAATCGAAGATGCTCATAGTGTTAGCAGCTCATGACATGGCAAAGACTTGCTGTGGGCTGCAGACCGACTTGGCGAATTCGAGACAAGTGCGCACGGAACTTGATACAAAGTATTGTGTTACATACTTCATAATTTCATTGGTTCGTATCATAATCTTACTACAACATCTTCTAGTTGACAGCCTTCAACTTGCACATCAAAGGGTGCTTCTCCCAAAGAATGAATGTTTTCTGGTTACTCCAATCATTGCTTTCAGGGCAGAGTTCAATATCGAAGTTGTAGTAAACCTTGGAAGCAAGGAGGCGTATCTCGTGGTATGCCATACTAAGTTTACTGTTAGCTTGCTATGGTCTGTGTACGTATGCTAGAAATGAATATGGAGAGAGGGCTGTTGAACTCACTTCTTACCAACACAATCCCTAGATCCAATAGAGAAAGGCTGAACACACTGCCTCTCATCGCTCTCAAACTCGGGATCACCCATCCATCTCTGAGGAAGGAATTCAACTGGCCTCTTGAAGTTCTTGTCAGACAAGTACATGGCGTGTTGCGGGATCATGATGATGGTGCCGGGTGGTACGTATTGGCCGACAACAGTACTGCCGTCTTGCGGTGTGAGGCGCGGAAGTCCAAGAGGAACCGGGGGGTAGATACGGAACGCTTCCTTGATGCAAGCCGACAGGTAGGGCAATGCAGCAAGCTGCTCCATGGTCATGTCGGCATCGCTAGCGAAAGCGCTACGGATCTCATGGTTGAGCTTTGCCATGCAGTCCGGGTTGCGCAGGAGCAGGTATGTCAGGCCCGAAACGAGTGTAGCTGTTGTTTCCGTTCCGGCGATCATAAAGAGGGAAGCGTTCGCGTCCATTTCGCCTCGGGTCAGGCCTCGTCCTTCCTTTTGGCCCAGCACCAGATCCCATAGATCGACGCCCTCGGAATCGCGGCCTTTCTCAAGGCGCTTTGTCACGCGTGTTACAGAGTGGTTGAAGTGGTCCATCCGCTTCCGATTTACAGACTCGGGTACGTATCTCTTGAACGCACGCCATAGCCATGGATATGACATCATGACGGTGAAGTGAGATCCCATCTTGAGACTGGCAAAGATGATACGGACCCAGGGGTCGTATTCGGCGTTGTCGAGCATATGCAGTGGCTCTCCGA